TACAATTTTATTATAGACGTAAAACAGAGAACGTAAGTTTCAGAAAACAAAGTACTGTGAGTTTCTACTTTTTATACACAGAAAATTTTGCCAATTCTAGCCAATAGCAAGTCTCGCGACGTTCACAGTAGCCACGTGATTCACATTCGAAAAATGGCGGATTTTCTGCTATCACGTGTAAGAACTAGATGCTCAGAGGTGTGGCATGATTTACAACAATCCCGAAACTTATGTTTTTTTTAACAAAAAGCATTTATTCTGATAAAAAAGCAGCTCTATATTCATTTCCGATATTAATATCATAAATTTAAAATCCTTTTCCCGTATATTATATCGAGTTCATAGCATGACTTCTCACGTAGGAGGGAGCAAATATCCCCCCTCTGTGTTTATAAAGTCCAAATTTTTAATGTAAGTTCATGGATTGAAGGGTCATCAAATTAGGGTATTGGTTTCTTTTATAAATCTCTTACGTCATAATTTCAGTTTACGTTGTACGTTGTTGCCTCAAAAACAGAACATTTCTTTCCTCCCTGCAACGATTTTATATACAGTACGTTTGTACTTAGACTCGAATGACTTGTCTACTCCATGATTATTATTATTAGGTTCACAACTGCTAACTCGTATAGACTATAATTATTGAATATTATTTTTCTGATTACTTTTCAGTAATAAATTTCTCTCGTTACTAATTTAAGGATACATTTTTATGAACGTTCCTAGTATTGACTTTATAGAAATTTCAATGGATAAATATTATGAAGATATAAAAACAAATTCTGTACATTTTTTTTTCTCCGTTTGTCTGACCTTTTTTAAACTTTAAATCTGCAGTTTTTATTGTGGATATTAATCGTAAAATTAGTATTAAATCACATTCTATTTGTTGCTTCCAACGCTTACATAAACGCTTAACTATGAAAGCTGAAGTTTTTGTCGATTCGTGTGTTTCTGTCCTCTAAATTTCGCAGAAAACATTCTCTAATTAGCAAAACTTTTGAGTAATTTTACAATTTTATATAATTGATGGCAACTCTAACCAAATTTTCTGTTTTATACGTCTACTTATACGGACATTCGGATAAAAATAAAAATATACAATACACGAATATTTATTTATAAAATTAATTAGTGATAATACCTTAAAAATAAACAAGAGATAAAGAGAAGAGTGCTGAAAATTGCCACTAGAGGCGCTAGTAGGTTTAAAAGGTAAAAAAAGAAAGGCAGGTGGTCGAACGCGTACAGTCGGCAGTGCATATTCTAGCGTGGAGAAGGTGGGATGTTAGAGGCGGCGATATTCGTTTATTATTCAGCATGAATTCTGCTAAAGAGATTGATAGAAGGCGACAGGCGGCGATGAAACAGATAGAAGATGCTAAAGATGAAAATTATTTCAAGAAAGTTCGGGTGAGTACGAGCCGGTGGCAAAGTGATTGTCCGGTATTACCCGTGTTAAAATCAATACTTTTAGCTTTTGTTATTGTTCGCGTAGTGTTTTAGCTCCGTTATNTACGTGTAGCTACCTCATCAATTCCGGCTGATATTGATCAGCTTGTATCGAAAAAACAGTGCCAAATTTCTCATTAAAAATTTCAAGTAAATTCGTTTTTCTGTTCTTTTCTTGTTTGTTTTTATTTTGCATTAAAATTTGTATATGAAACCTTTACTTTTTTTTCAATTTTATATTTTTTTATTCTAATGTTTATTATAAATAAAGTTTTGTAAATTATTAATAAGTGTTACTTTATGTGCGGCCCGCCAAAAAATTTTAAAATTTAAATTGGCCCATTGACTAAAAAGGTTGCTCACCCCTGATCTACAGTGTTATAGGCGGGTCTACTGTTGTTCGGCTGCTCGTCCACTATTGGTCCATATTCGACCAATCCTGTCGCGACACGAGTCGGCGATGACGTTTTAGAGCATTTTACGAGTCTCTTTTAGCGTCTTTATTAGGGTTTCTTTCCCGGGATCCTGGGATCCCGTTTTCCCGGGATTCCTGCCGTTTATTCCCTACGAGAAAAATCCCGGGAAAATAAAATTTACCGGGAAATCTCGCATTTCAATAATAATTTATGATGTCAGGTTTTCTTTCTATTATTTATTATACGAAAAGTTACATCTTGAAGACTCACCTAAGAGAGAAATTTTGAGATTTTATGCTGCATATTATTACATATGTTTTACAAGTCTCTACTTGTTAGTTCATGTAATATCTATGTATTGTGTTTGCGCGTCATTGAACAGCGGAGCACTCGCTGAAAGTAAATATCACTCATCGCACTTTAGTTTATTTTTTATTTCATCTTTAGAAATAAAATAGTATTTTTTTCGTAATCATCAAAACTCCCAATGAAACGCTTTATTTTACTTTCATCTTATAATGTAGGAGAACATAAATTAATTGAGCCTAANAACTTTGGAGACATCATTAATAGAAATAATTTTTATGACCGTTGAATAAGAAATGTTTCTTTTCACAACAAATGTATAAAATTACAGTACCGTGTTAGACTTACAGTGCTTAATCTAGGCATATATACTGTACAGACGATAGTAAACTCAACTTACCCGCTTTAATTCTCTGTAGCGTGTAAGTAGTTCGGCTGCTCGTCCACTATTGGTCCAGATTCGACCAATTCTGTCGCGACACGAATTGGCGATGACGTTTTACCGCATTTTACGAGTCTTTTTTAGAGTCTTTATACGAATACGGTCGCAATTTTTTCGCCGCGATATACGAATCCGCGTTATATGAACCCGCGTTATAGAGGGTCTACTGTATTTTCTAAAAAATAAATACATATTAATTTTAATTATATGAAAATAATCGCACTTTATTTTATTATAACCGCATTATGTATCTTATTACAAATTTCTATACTAAACGTGAAAAAAAAGATAAGATTGCTATTTATATTCGAATATTAGTGGCGGAGTGGAAACGATGTATTGTCAGCATCCAAAAAGCCAGATTCGCGCATGCGCTTTACAGATTACCAACCTCACCCGGTTTAGCTGGTGGAAGCCTAGGACCTTTGGTGGATGCTACACGTATACCGCATCCAATTCTATCCGGGGCTGGTTCTGGGCTGTTAGCCGTCTGCCCGCTAGATATTTGCCGCCCTCACCCGATTACGTGAATCACGAGTAGATTTATAACTTATCCCAACCGTTAAGAATTTAATGGTATGTTTTTATGATAGTTCTGTATAGTTGACAGGAGTTAAAAAGAATCTATTAAAATATTTGATATTTTTATTCCGCTCTCCCATTTTATATTACTCACGGGTTTCAATGTTAAACCAGTGATATTACGATTTCGTATGTCCCATAAGGGGATTAGAAAAAAACGTGTACAATTCTTGTATAATGTTAAAAAATTAACCGTTACTTTGACAGCATCATTTACAACTAAATTTAATGAATGAGAGAGATGCACGAGGTACAGAAAAGGCTCTAGAATTTATTTTCCTTAAATTTACGATTTATGTATCCGTTGTCATAAAAATTTGTCTTTCCACTTTTTTCCCGAGACTACAAATATTCGAGTACTGTACAAAGTAACCGGTTTCGGCTTTATTTATACTTAAGTAGTTGTTAAATAATTAAGCGATTAGGGAATTGGGGACATAAACAAAACCCTGGTGAAAGAGCCGAAATTTTACTTAAACAAAAGCTTAATCGAACCACTCTATAGCCGAGTACAGTGAGGACTGATTTCTTCGAAATACTGTATTAGATGTAATAAAGACAGAAATTTTTCCAGTTCGACGAAAGTGACCAAAAAGTTGTAAATTTTGGAAATTTCCGTGGACAACACCTGGTCTTAAAACGAATTAGTTAGAAAACAAAATACGGAAGTCTATTAAGTTTTTAGATATTTAGATTTTTACAGCTGTGGTGAGAAACGTTTAAAATCTACATCAACCCTGTCGCGCCTTTTGAGGTATATTAGTGATGCGACAAAAGACGCATCTGACATTGACCGGTATCAGCACCCTCGGGATTTGGCGTGCATGCACGCACCGCACACCTACCTAGATCGTCTCTGATTCCACTCGTAGGGAGCTATTTGACTAAGTGGTTAAAATTTAAAAAATAAAGATTTTATGTTATTTTTATGTACAGTACGTTTCTTTACAAAGCTATATTTAATTATAATTTTCTTTAAAAGTATATTCATACAATTGAAGAATGTTTTGTACCAGGTATGTATATCCACCACACATTTTATTTCACCAAGTAAGTTTTTATTATTTTATTTTTATATTTTAGCCCTTATATCGTGGCTAGCGATTCAGAATGTAATTGCGATATTGAAGATTTATTTTAAAAAGTTTTGGCTCGAAATCATATAATGAAAAAGAAAACATTATTAAAAGAGAAAGGCCAATGCCTAAGTTAAATATAAACACTTCAATGAAAAAATTTGTTCGACATTTTCACGATAAAATGATTCTGTAAATGCATAAAAATGCAAAAATTGTTTTGTTGGTTTGCCTATTTTCAAATGAAATTAGTATGTGGAATAAGAATGGCTTTGACAAATTAGTTGGCAAAAGACATGAAAAATCGTCGATTCTTTCGTATTTGAAACAATTTGGAAATCAAAGCGGAATAGAATTTAACATTAGTAAATAATATAAAATATTGAAAATTATAACGAGATAATTTAAATATACCTATTATCCGTAACTAATAGATGTTACGTTTTTATCAAAGCGGGAATCGGCATTTAGAGGGCATAGGAAATCTATTGAATCTAATAACGGAGGTAATTATATTGAACTTTATTTATTAAGTACGTCAGATAAATAATCTATTAAAAAGACATTTAGAGAATTAACTGATTGCCCCTGGAAGTCGGCTTCTTACAGAAACACAGCTTCCCTATCATCAAATGTCACAACATGCCACTGGCTAATACTAAATTTAAACACTTGATTTATTAAACAGATGACGACTAAAAGAAGCAAAGTGAGACACATTGCCAATGCTATTCGGATTGCTTACATTTATTTTCAAACAGTAACAAACTTTTCATTTTTTAAACATTCAGTCAACGACAGAGAACGTACATCATTCTTGATCATGTGAAAGATAACAAATAAAATGAATCCAATTTCGTCTAATTACTAGAAAAGTACTAGACGTTCCGTAAAATCTACATATAATAATTAAAAACGAAAAGGTCTTTGTTTAAAAAAGTACGTAACGTATGCTATAAAAAACAATTGAGATTTTATACAGAGAATTGAACGTCACAAGAAAACTTTGTGATTTCTTCGTCACGTCTTTTATTGTCGTCTCGAAAATCGTATATTGGTACGTATTCATCCGAATCCTTCAAAATTTCTATTATGTTCGAATGTATTTCTTTTTCAGGAACTTTAACAGAGAATATATAAAAAGTGCGCTTCGGCAAATATTTCGTTTTTTGCAAATATACAATCCCTCCTCCATAGCAAAATCTTTTTTCGTACACAAAATCCTGAGTATACATCGCCTTAACACCGACCAAAACATTTATCCCTCTAGGATTATTATGAATTATTGGAAGTTTAATTTTATGCGCGTAACAGTTTTCACAGAACAATATATCAATCATAAACTGAAAGTTTGGTTTCATATAAATATTTACTTTTAACATACGATGAATCACATAGTTTACGGCAGTAACCGAATAATCATTAATATTTCGACGTTTAATACTAGCAGTTATTGTTGTTGGAAGAAGAGCTACGTTTTTCTCGGCGAGAAATTGTCGTATGGATTGAACTTCCTCTTCTGTTAAAATCTGATCTTTAGTAAAATTGTCCACAATCTGTTTTAAACGATCTGGATCTAGAACAAAAAATCTGATGAAAGAGATGAAAGGTTTCATCACGTCTCTCTTCGATATGTTGGCATTTGTTTCCCTCAATTTGAGAAATGTTTTTTCGACCCACATGCGAAGTCCCATCAACAAATCAAATTCCTCCAGTCTTACGTATATTGGGCTCGTCAATAACTTGTAAACAGTAGTTTCTTCGCACGATCGGAAATCATCGGTACGGAAAATACTTCTATCAGAGAAAGCGAGTAGGCTGAAACAATGATATTGCAGTTGTTTTTCATTGTGTCTGCAAGCCAAATCGTGGGCACGACAAGCATTACCTCTAAAAATCAACCAGGAGATGTAATTAAAACATACATTTTTCAGTTGGTTAATGAAGTAACGTTTGCTGAATAAATACATTTCAAATGCGCCATCAACAATAGTAAAATTAAGAATTTCGTTATCCAAAAATCTGAAAGAAAAATACATTGTATATTAATTTTTCATATATCTTTTAATAATTACTCGCTAAAAATTACGTTCTATTACAGACCGTTTTCTCAATAATCGAGAAGTACTTTTAGCCATTTACTGATAATCATATTTGGTTACGAAATTTCGATGATAAAATATCTCGAAAAACCTAAATTAACTTACGAATAGATATAATCGTCTAACTTATAATGTTTAGGCCAGTGGTTCTTAACCGGGATCCATGTAACATTACTAAGGCCCTGTACACACTAGGCGTTTTTCAACGCGCGTTTTAAAGAACCAAGAGTTCTATGTAGCCGTACACACTCAAACGCCAAGCGCGCGTTAAACGCGCGTTTATAGATTTTTGTTAAAACGCGCGTTTTGCGGGCACTTTACGGGCGCTTTGAGATATATGTGCTGCCTTATAGCGACGATGGAGGAGCACACACAATCAATTACTTTCTCGTCCATTTCCAAACTGAGCCAGTGCTAAACGCCGAACTAACGCTCGTCGAACGCCGAGCTAACGCGCGTTAGCTCGGCGTTAAGCGCGCGTTGAAAAACGCCTAGTGTGTACAGGGCCTAAATGTCCACAAAAAAATACTGAATTTGGGGATCACAGTGATATTTTACTGGTCTATAAGGTGATTCTAAATCAGAACAATTGTTTTACTGAGAATTAAATTTCTACAGTATATATATTGTCAAGTTCTTTATTACTCATTTCTTGCATAAGGGTTAAAATATAAAATTATTTAAAATATTCAATATGTATACGACATTATCTGTGATCCTTCTCAATGACCGATTTGTTAGGCCGAGATTTGTTGGGAGAATCTTATACCATCAGCGTCATGTCACTTGATAGGAAAACGTTCAGAAATGTCACTTTTTTTTATTAGTGAAAAATATAAGGTTTCTTTTCCTGTGCAACGTCTATGGGGGTCCAGAAAGAAAATGGGTCCATGGGTAAAAAAATTGAGAACCACTGGTTTAGGTGTTTTATACAGTTCAACGTATCCGCATCAATTTGGCATGAATACTCTTCGATACCCTAGAGGAAAAATACTGTGGGGTACCCACCTCGGAAGCAAATCTGTCTTAAACCCGAGCAAATTTTTCTGTTTTGAGGTTTTATTATTGAAATAAATCAGGCCAACAAAACGCAGTGTTTAGTTACTAACAAGTAAGACTGTTGTTTTTAAAATCTCCACGTTAAAAGCCCGAACACTTGGAATTCGAACTGAAAATTGAGTTTTTAATAAACACTTGGCTTTATTTCCATCTCCTTTTAGTTGAGCAGTTATCCTTTTTAGCCCAAACACTTATCAAATTATATAATATATAAAACTAGCTATGCACGAAAAAGAAGGAAAAAGCAGCTTTTTTTATGCGATAACGAATCGAATAAATATCGTTTGTTATTTCTTAGTCTGAAACACCAGAATGTATTGTTAAATATAATTAAGGAAATAAATTAATTCAGACGAAAAAATGTGGCATTAAATTTAATTAACTCTGATACTTTTACCGGCGCATTGTCTGGTAAAGCGGCTTTAGTACAGCTGCTGGATAAGCAAACCAAAACCAGGAAGTCAGTTTCATTAGTAATGAACTGCCATTGGCTTATTTATCCAACTGTATTAAAGCAGCTTTACTAGGATACACGTCCTATGTCACATAAATCACCAATTTATATCCACAAATGTTTGGTTTCCTTCCAGTAGTTAACATATGCAAATTATTTTAAACACTTGCTCCGATATTTCCAAATGGGATAGAGACTCTCCTCATTGAACAGGATTATCTTGTTCTTTTAATAAATAAATATTTATATACTGAAAACAAAATTAGGTATGTAACTCTTGTAGAATAATTTGTACAAACCTGGAGAATTGGTTGAGCATTTCTAATGTCAGAGGTACTTTTAGAAAAAACTTCATTTCGTTCGGACACACCGTTATGGAATATTTCAGCAATCCCGCCTTTTCCTTCAATGATTGTAGTGACACGACGACAGATTCTTCGTTATCATTGACTATAGTCACTTTGTCATAGTTGAATGTTCCTTCCTCTTCTACGTTCGACATTTTCTCCTTATACTGAAGAGGAAATTGAAATAATAATAAATAAAGATTGTCAGAACCAATATTAAATACCACTCGACGATTTCTTCAAAGTCCAACAATTCCACCACTCTAAAATCACCAGATAAACGATTTGTGAAAGCTGCTTCTGTTTATATGCAAATGAGATTATTTAATGATTGATGCTGATTACTTTTAAAAAGCACTATTATATATAAATATTTATCTTTAATTCTATAAAACCTTTTGTAAGTAAATAGTTTAACTTTTGATGTACAGAAAAATAAAATGTTATCGGGAGAATAAATTATGTAAATTAGTTTGAACTCACACACTGTTTTAATTATGCAATTGGCTGTTTTCTGATCTCAAATGGAAAAAAGTTATATTCGATAAAACCTAAGTTATTAGAATTGATTTCAGCTGTAAAATTAACGTAAATAAAAAGGAGAGAACGTCTTTATTAAGCTATGTGTTGTGGTTCCAGTTGAAACTCGTCTCTTGCTGAATAGTTGCATTGTTATTAATACACATACTTCGAAATAAATATTTTCATCTCTCTTTTTTTTTCCATTCAGATTTAAAACATGGATCTTCTTCCATAAAGTCGAAATAATTTTTTCATGGATTAATTAGTATCTGGTTTTACTATTCCGGTAAAACCAGATACGAATACGTTCGTCTATAAGCCACAGCAATTGTTTGACTTTGAAATCTTCTGCCAGAACTTCCTTGTTGAAACAAGATACTCTTCTGAGGTCCCCAAGAAGGTCGCTGACGTCTATCGATGAAGAGTGATAGTTGAAGACAGTAACTCATTTATTGCTGGTGTCTGTATTTGTATAGCAACATAAGCATCATTATAGATAGCATATACTTCAACGTCTTTGCTTGTTATAATATCAATGACAGGACAATCGTCACTTTATTGAGCAAAGAAACGCCGGTAAAGCGTTTCCAAGCCGACCAAACCAAGCCTTTCCTTGAGCCGTCATCCTGTCGATTTTTCGCTCAGCCACTTCAGCACGCATTTGTATAATGGCAGCTTAGCTCATTTCAGCAAAACTTTGTAGCCTTGGACTGTCTCACTGAGATTTATAGGTACTTAAGCTTTTTCCCCATTACTGTATTGTTTTTCGGGCTCTTGAGTTCTCTTATGTAACAGGATCAGCTCCCAATCCCATGCAAGTGTGACCATTTCGAGCTGCAGGCCAAATTTTTATTTGCTCTGCTGAACAAATGCGCCTTATAAAACCTGTTACACAAATCCCAGGCCTTTGATATCTCTGACACCTTTGGAAACTTAGACCTTCGCATTGCACTCCATCAATAGTCAGTACGAAGATAAATCTTTTGGGGCTCCCAACTCTGTCTCATGCCACTAGTCCTGTCTTGCCACATCGATATAAGTTTCTTACTTCGAGGTATATGTTGGGGGTTTGCCAGCTTTTGACGATTTCTTGGGCTGACCATATGACCATAGTCAGCCAAGTGCTAGAATGAATGAGAAACCAACTCTTCTTGACGGTATGCAAATATAGATTAAAATGGAAGGGACATGTTTTGAGGCATGGAGGAGCACTGCAAGATGCTACTGAAGAAATATATTTGAGTTTGAAATCTGTTCATGTACAATATTATTCGATTTAATATATTTGGCTGGATTGCTGAGTGGTTATGGTGGCAGCCTGTTGTTTTGGGGGACCCGGTATAGAGTTCGGATTGGTCGAAAATTCCAGGAATATTTTAGGGATGCCCGTTCTTCATCACCCAGATGTTCAATTGTGGGTCTGGCCGAACCCATAATAGGCTTGCTAAAAAGGCCTTCTTAGTGTCCACAGCGTATAAAGAATAAAAAAAAAAAGAATTTTTGAAATCTTTTTAAAATATTTTATATATTAAAGATCCATCAATTCCTGAGACATTATTATTTTCTTAAAGAATTTTTTAGCAGAAAAAATAATAAAAAATATCAAAATTAATATAAAAACCAAAGTCAGTCTGTTTGTAGCTTTATTTGTTATCTTTCTTTTTCAACAGATGGCGGCACTTCACAACACATTGTAATATTATTTATGATTACTGTAAGGTCTCTTTTTATGCGGATTATTTTTATGCAATTTTGAAGTTGTGCGGTTTGTATTTCATCCAAAAATTCTTGGACAAATATACATATAGGCTTGTTTAGGAAGCCGGCGTATAGAGTCTCCAAAAATCGTGGAACGCTCAAAGCTCACTCCATTTGTTCCACTGACATATAACGTTTATGGATGTAAAGGACAGCTAGATCCACCTTAATCGCTTTAGTTCCTAGCAATTTTTGATATAAATGTAATTAAACATAAAAAATACTTAAAACTGAAAAAAAA